GAAAGAAGTATATTTGAAAGATATTTACTTGAAAGAATTATATTAGAAAGATATTTACTTGAAGAATTATATTTGAAAGATATTTACCTGAAAGAATTATATTCTAAAGATATTTATTTGAAGGAAGTATATTCGAAATATATTTATTGAAAAGTATTATATTCTAGAGACTTTTATTGAAAAACTTATAGATAAAAGATGTATATTGAAAGAACTTGGTTAATTGGTCGTACCTGTATTTATTATTCGTTTGAGTAATATTTATGGTGTTTCTGTTGTCTTACTGTTTAAATCACTAGTTGGTTGGTGTTGCTATTCACTGCTATTTGCTTTCTATCATGTTGCATATCATATTGTACATGTTATTAGACTAGTGAGTGTCTTGACTGTACCTCATCTCTACTTCACTGAGGTTAGTCTTGATACTTACCGGGTACCGACCGTGGTATACTCATACTATACTTCTGCACGTTTTTGTGCAGAGTCAGGTATTGGAGATATCGGACTCGGACAGAGTTAGAGTGAGATCGCAAGAATTCAACGCAGTGCTGCTTGGTCGTCGCAGTTCCTTGGAGTCTTTTCATTTTATTTTACTGTTATTTATTATTCAAACAGTATAGACTATTCAATCCTTGTGATCATTTCATGTATTTAGTTAGAGTTCGTGACTTAATACTACTAGTCTTGGGAGGTTGGTATATTTGTAATTATTTTCGCTGTTAGTTTCAAAAAAAAAGCTTTGAAATGTAATGGAAAAATTGGCTTACCAAGTCTTAGAGACTAGGTGCCATCACGACGCCTGTGGTGGAATTTTTGGGTCGTGACAGATTTGCAGATTGTCGATTTAATGAAGCAAATTTCCCACGATTATGGGGAGAGAAAAGGAAATCAAAAGAGAAATTGTGTGGAAAGTTTCATCATTATCTCACTTTGATCCACGTACCCCTATATGTAATCAGGAGGTCCAGAAGATCATCCATTTACAGAATATAGCAAATCAAATGCCAGACACATTTACTGATTTGAAAAGGATAACTAAGTCACATATCCCTGCAGAGAATGTGCATATCCGAATTGATGTCCCAGCATGACCATCTACTAGCATGAGAGCTAGTGAACCTAAAGCACGCCTGAAGCGTGGTAGGCCTTTGGGTTCTAAGGATCGAAATCCTAGAAAAAAATCAACAAATGATCAAAATGTTATTATGAAGGGATCTCCTGAAGAGACCCAAGATCTGATTAGTTCTGATATTCCTGAAGAAATCAATGAACCCGAGACTCCAGTGAGCGAGGAACTTTTAATAAGTTCTACTGGTAATGGGATTAATTTAAATCGATCTGAAATAGTGGTGGATAATATTTTTGTATATAATGTTGCACTTAACATTATGCAAGATAGTGAGAATCTTGAACCCCGATATATTGAAGAATGCCGACAAAGATCTGATTGGCCAAAATGGCAAGAGTCAATTCAATCGGAATTGAAGTCACTTGCTAAAAGAGAGGTCTTTGGGCCAGTAGTCCAAACACCTGCTGGTATAAAGCCAGTTGATCATAAATGAGTTTTTGTGCGAAAAAAGAATGATAAAAATAAAGTTGAAAGATACAAGGCTCACCTTGTTGTACAAGGATTCTCACAACGACCTGGAGTCGATTATGAAGAAACATATTCACCCGTTATGGATACCATAACATTTCGCTATCTCATCAGTTTAGCCTTACGTGAAAGGCTTGAAATACATCTAATGGATGTGGTTACAACTTATCTGTACGGGTCACTTGATAATGAAATTTACATGACAATCCCCGAAGGATTTAAAATGCCTGAAGCATATTCAAAATCTCGGAAAATGTACTCAATCAGATTACAAAGATCTTTGTATGGTTTAAAACAATCTGGGCGCATGTGGTATAATCGTTTCAGTGAATATTTGCTGAAAGAGGTTTACATAAATGATGTTATTTGTCCATGTACTTTTATAAAAAAAATAGCTTCGGAATTTGTTATACTTGCTGTTTATGCTAATGACATAAATCTTGTTGGAACTCCAGAAGAGCTCCAAAAGGCAATTGAATATCTTAAGAAAGAATTTGAGATGAAAGATCTTGGAAAGACAAAACTTTATCTTGGTCTTCAAATTGAATATTTTGCAGACGAGATCTTTATCCATCAATCTGCCTATGCAGAAAGGGTCTGAAAACACTTTTACATGGACAAAGCGCACCCATTAAGTACACCAATGGTTGTTCGATCACTTGAAGTGAATAAAGATTTGTTCCGACCTCCAGAAGAGGATGAGAACTTCTTGGTCCCGAAGTATCCTATCTCAGTACAATTGGTGCACTAATGTATCTTGCTAATGCTATAAGGCCTGACATAGCATTTTCTGTTAATTTACTAGCAAGGTATAGTTCTTCTCCTACACGGAGATATTGAAACGGGATTAAGCATATATTGCGATATTTAAAGAGAACTCTTGATATGGGTTTGTTTTATGCTAACAAAGATAGTGCAGATCTTGTTGGTTTTGTAGATGCAGGTTATTTATCTGATTCCTATAAAACTAGATCTTAAACCGGGTACGTGTTCACATGTGGAGGTACTATCATATCATGGCTCTCCACAAAGCAATCTATTGTTGCTACTTCTTCAAATCATGCTGAAATAATAGCTATTCATGAAGCAAGTAGGGAAGCGTATGGTTGAGATCAATAATTCATTTTATTCGAGAAAAATGTGGTTTGGAATGTGAGAAAAGACCCACAATTTTATACGAAGACAATGCTGCATGCATAGCCCAATTGAAGGGAGGATTTATAAAAGGAGATA